ATCTTTCTTTTACAAGACTCTTAATGCAGCTCTACGTACTCAAGAAATTCATTTGATGTTTTTATTTCGTGCATTTATCTCTGATATCTGTCGTCAATTAGAAAGTCATCACATTCAGCAGCCTGTACGAGCCTATCGAGGCCAAATGCTATCAAGTGATGAACTGAAAACTTTGAGAGGATACTGTGATCAGTTTCTTTCAGTGAATTCATTTTTTTCCACCACCGTTGATTATCGGCGAGCTCTTTCAGTGGTCAATGCTTATAATGCTAAAGCTGGTGTAGAATGCGTAATGTTTCAAATCGATGCTGATCCTACGATGGCCATTGCAAAACCATTTGCTGATATTAGTTCACATAGTAAATTCAAGGATGGAGAGGAGATCCTCTTTATGCTTGGTACTATTTTTCGTTTGAACAGCATTAATCGTAGCAGCGAAGGCCAATTTTGGATCATCCAAATGACTATGTGGAATGGCGATGAAGATGATTTAAAACAAATTCTAATGACTATGAAACAGCAACATAGGAATAGAGAAACAAATCTTCAAACATTAGGAAAATTATTGTGGGAGATGGGAAAGCCTGATTTAGCTGAGAAATACTTCATTCGCTTCTCAAAAAAACTCCGACCCGACGATCCTTTACTTGTTAATTTGTATATCGACCTTGGCGAACTCGCATCTCAAAACGGTGACTACGAGAAGAGTATTAAGTGGCATAAAAAAGTTATCGCACTAAAAAAGCAAAAACAGTCGACTGAGGCTTCAAATACTAATATACCCAATTCTTCTATAAGTAAGTTCGTAGAAAGCCAATATATCATTTTGAAACGAATGCCCTATATAAGACATAATAGATTTTTATCAGAAGTTTTTAAAAACTGAGGAAACAAAACAAAATCGTGAAATGAGATACCCAATCTCATCAAATAACAGTCCTTTGTTGCTTATCAAGCAGCCATTTTAGATGTCCGCAGTAGTTGACGATTAGAATCGTATTGATTTTATATACTATCATGTGCCCTATTTCTTAACCTAATCGTTCTTGATGATTGTCTTCAGACATTTTCATGGAATGCGATCTAAAAAGAGTGTTCAAGAATGTAAAGTAGAAATGTGGATCCACTTTCTCCGCCTACCTTTCCTTCAACCTCACAGACCATTTAGATACACTCGAAATCCATCACAGATTGAGAAAGACACCTTCGCAATTTTTTCTTTAAGAGTGCGAATAGGAATAACAGTTATATCGTGTTTCACATTTTAATCATGTCGGAAAATGATGCTGACAGCTTTTTTTACGGAAATAATGATATTTATTTCTTCCTTTCTATTTTGCTCTATCATGACAGGAATATTCAGCGAAGCGAAGAACATACTTCGTAATGGTACACTATATAAGCCGATGTGAACATTTTTTCGTTGTTGTTGTCTACTCAAAAAGTGAGTCCACTATAGAATCGGTCAGTGTGTCCAACCATCGATCCAGCCGTTTCCACAATAACTCTTCAAAGGGTAGTCCGATTGTGATGAAAGTACAAGTGGCGGTAAGGTCATTTTTTCCCATGATATTTTTTCAAAATAATTACATTGTCGGAATCAGCATTAAATTCTGAGTAAAATGAGGTATTTTTTCTGTCAAAAGACGAGTTTCATTTTTTACGGTTCATTGGACATCTGTAGGGGACACCAGGGCCATCGAAATTTTTTTGTTCAGAATCATATTAAGTTTAACATCAACGGATGCAGAATTTAATGCTGACTCTGAATTTCAAATTGAAATTTAAAAAGAAACTAAATTTTGGTAGAGAAAAATCTGATTTATTGTGGAATGGTGCAGCAAGACATTTTCAGTTACCGTACTCAAATCATCCTGTAAGGTCATTAGAAAGTCTGAAATACACTCAGTAATGTGTGAAATTGCTTTCCCAATCAAAAATATCTTAGCAGTTGCTTGAAGTCAAATCTTGATTAGGTTTATCGTCAAATACTCAAAAAAAATCAGGTTTTGGACTTCCTTCACTCCATGGAGGGGACAAAGAAATCTTAAACCAAAGAGCAGTGTGTATGGATCGACGCAGATTTTCATGCTCTTTCAGAATATGACCTCAAAAATAAGAAAAACATTGAAGAACATGATCAAATAGCAGATATACTGGGGTCAGAGCAGAAAAATCCAAAAATGTGTCGGTATTTCGAGATCATGACCAATAAAAATTGTCTTTTGAGTAAAATGCTTATGATATTCCGAATCAACACTCAAAACTACAGGGTGTAACATAACCATTAGCCCCCCTCTAGAACTTAAAACATAAATGATATCAAAGAGTAGTATATACCAAATTAATGCTCGTCAAAAACTGGATTTATGAGTATAATTTATAGATCTTACGAGGGAACGTTCCCAGCTGTCATATTTCTTTTGAGTCAAATGTATGAGCTTCATATAGGCCCTGATAATCTATGAGTCTTCTGAAAAAAGTTCGTGCCACTTGCTTCTTATTGTTGAGATAAAATATCTGACGAAAGAATCTTTTCAAGGTTTCGTAAAAATTCTTTTTTCTTGGGAACCCTCCAAAGAATAGCACTCTGAAAAGCCGTTCTCGAATGTAACACGAAATTTCTTCAAAGAAAAATGTTCCATACGTAGCTTCTTCGCTCGCGACACACGAATCTCTTCGATAACGATGTCGATTACTTTTCTTTTCTGTTTGTTGTAGTGATTCGTAATATTCCAGCTAATGCTCGATGGACACAAAATGGAACGACTATTGCTGGTGATCATGAAACAGGCAGTGCCACTCATCAACTCTACGGTCCTAGTGGCCTATTTTTTGATAATGATCAAACGATATTAATTGTTGACTGTTGCAATAATCGTATCGTCCAATGGAAGTTGGGTGATACGAAGGGACAAGTAGTAGCTGGTGGCCATGGACCAGGAAATCGATCGGATCAATTGAATTTCCCAACTGATGTCTTGATTGACAAAGCGACGGATAGCTTCATTATCTGTGATCGAGGCAATAGGCGGGTTCTACAATGGTCTCGTTGCAGGGGCACTACTCACGGAGAAATCCTCCTCAACGACATAAATTGCTATGGATTGGCCATGGATGATCAGAGATGTCTCTATGTATCTGACACTGATATACATCAAGTACGGCGATATCAGATAGGGGACATCAATGGAACTGTTGTGGCCGGTGGCTTTGGCTTTGGTACTGATCTCGATCGGCTCAACCAACCGACCTATCTCTTTGTCGATCGACAACAGGCTGTCTACGTGTCGGAGTACTATAATCACCGTGTGACAAAATGGAAGAAAGGTGCAAAAGAAGCAACTCTTGTCGCTGGAGGTCTAGGCAGCGGCAACACTCTAGCACATTTCTCCTATCCTGGAGGACTGTTCGTCGATACATTGGGTGCCATCTATGTGGCAGACACGAACAATAATCGTGTGATGTGTTGGTCTAAAGGAGCGACGCAGGGCACTGTCATTGTGGGTGGCAATGGTCCAGGAAAAGAAACAAATCAATTAAATGGGCCCACAGGTTTGTCATTCGACCAACATGGCAATTTATACATTGCCGATGGGCGGAATGATCGAATTCAACGCTTTTCTATCGAGAAGACTTACTAAGATCATTAATTCTTGTTGTTCTTTCAATCAAATAAATTAAAAATTATATAGAACAAATAACTATTCAAACAAATTAAGGGCTCCCCCGCTAAAAACAACGTTTTCTTCTATGCATCCAATCTTGATGGAATTTTCAGTGGAGGTGTATCTTGGGCTAGGCACCTCGTAGTAAAAATTTCAGCTCGATACATTGAGTCTACCAAGAACTGGTGTAAGCTTATCGATCAAAATTTAGGTTTCCATGGGCTCCAAATTTCTCCACCACTTTCAATGCTAAAAAGTTCGGGTTGGTTTTAAAATGTAGCCGAAACATGGCGCTACAACTTAACAAGGCCCAATTTTTTGTTTTTTCCCTAGCTTGTGTTTCTAGGAGACTTCTCCGGCAAAATACGGAAAATCCAGTGGATGTAGGTCCGGAACTGTTAGTTTTCAATAAACACTAAGGGCAAAATCAAAATATCCGACT